AAAAGGTGATCAAGGCATTATAGGTCCGGCAATTGAGGAGACCAATGCATCGCACCAAAATGCTCGATCTACTATTCACAAAATGTAACGTCTGAGTGGTTACTAAAGTTGCGGTTGATATGGTCAGGGCATAAATCGTGCTGGAACAACAATGTCGGTTCAAGCATTTAAAGCGAACTAGATCTGTATTGCACCACTGCAAAGCATGACTCATCCTTCAGCATCACAAAAGGACAGGAAAAGAGGCTTTGTACCATACTTCTGCAAAACCCCATCTCACAAAAGCAATCCCAGTGCGTAGTAGTTGTGTAATAACTCCAGTATAGTTAGTATAATCACCGATTCTACTACCTCCGCGTTCGTGTGTGAAATGAAGCTTCCCTGCTGAAGCACTCTGTCCAACCTCTTCTATCGCGTCAGCAAAGCACTCAGAACCTTGTACTCCTTTCTGATTCCAAGTCCTCTGTGCTACTCTACCCCTCCTACAAGTTTGTAACCCTGATGCTGAGAATACATGTATACTTTAAGTCGAACTTTCGATACATGAAAAATACAAACTGAATTTTGTTGATCAGCCATCTAGAATGGAAATTTTTTTAATGGCAAAAGACCTAAAATTGGGAAAGAAAAAAGAATAAATTTAATAATAAATTTAATGTAAAAAGAAGATTAAAAATCTGTGATAAAAATGCTCCTGAGTTTCTTAGCATCACTGTACGCATTCTGAGTGACTGGAAAGAAGGAAAACTGACGTTAAGTTTTGAATCAAGTTGAGTAGTAGAATGGTAGTTTGATGAAATTGAAAATAAAAATTCCAGTTCTGAGTTGAGTTGTAAAGAAGTCGCCTGCAAAAGGGAAAAATCAAAAGGGTGGATGGCGTAAACACAGGGGAAAAATTACTAAATCTAATGACTGAAATTATATGTTTTAATTTTATGAAAAATTAATCATTAAAAATGAAACAAAATAAAATTTTTGAAAAATGAATCTTAAAGCAAATTTTAATAAAAGTATTTTAATTGCGTGGAAGAAAGTAATTTGTCTTGAATGTATTATTTTAAAACTAAAAGTAATTTATAAGAAATGAGGAGTAGAAAAAGTTGCAACAAAAATTAAAAGTGGAAGTGACAGTAAATAATCTTCAGTAACGACGAAATTGATTAATTACCTTGACCTTTAAATTCTCACCTGTAAAAGAAATAAACCTTTTGGAAAAAAAGAGACTTATTCAACTTAGGCATTAAAATTCTAATATTTCTAAAAAAAAAAATAAAAAAAAAAGTAATTCTAACACAATTATTAACCAGATTTTGAGAATTAAAAGTATTTTCTCTGTTCTCGATGACCTTCTTCAAGAAACTCAATATCTCAAAATTACACTTATTAATAATCAAATTCCCCTTCATTTTATTAACATATTTATCCAGCCGCCCAACCGTGGTAGTGGTTAGCGATGCTGACTGCCGTACCGAAGGGACCGGGTTCGAATTCACGAGAAGGCATGGATGTTGTGCAGCATGGGGACACTCTAAATATCGGCGAGCCGAAAATCCTGTCGAAAGTTTGGTGATAGAGAAGGAGATGTGGGAGAACCTCGGACCCGCCCCCTCCCGAGGTCCTCTCCTTCAAAATTGGGGAGGGGGATCTGCGTAAAATCGTGCAGTGCATATTCGTGCATATTGTGCTTAAGGCTCTTGCCAACGACAGGCGCAATCTTGACTCCTTGCCACGAGGAGTTTCACTCTGATATCAGAAACCTGAGCTGATGTTACTGTCGTTTGGGTGGGATAAACCACAAACAAGAAACAAACACAATTATTAAATTACTCATTAGGTCATATTAATTTTTCTTGCAACTTATGATAGAAACTTCTTAAACCAAATTTCGTAGCATTTTTTGGATGTGAAGCAATTGTAAACGCCCATATAAATACTCAAATAGTCCCTCTATCTATGTTACTAATAAATGGTCATTTTTATACCAGTCCTATTTTCTGCAAATTAGATGAAGCCATTTTATACTAATCTCCTTTTTTGTTTTCACAACTTTTTCTACTTCCCATGACTTGCAAATTACTTTTAGTTTCAAATTATTAAAATCAATGCTAATTCCACTTTAACACGCAGTTAAAATACATTTATTAAAATTTGTTTTTAAGATTAATTTTTCAAAAATTTTATTTAGTTTAATTTTTCACAAAAATGTTAAAATATAACATTTTAGTAATAGTTATTTTATCCCTGCGTTTACACCATCCATCATTTTCATTTGCATTTGCAGGCAAATTTTTACAATTCAACTAAGATCTCGAATATTTACTTTTTCATTTCTTCAAATTATCATCCTACTACTCAAATTGATTTAATATTTAAGCTCAGTTTTCTTTACTTCCAGTCATGTAGAATGCACACAATGATACCAAGAAACATCTTTATCACAAGTTTTTAATTTTTTTCTTTTCCATTTAATTTATTTCTTACTTAATTCAGTTTTATATTACATTTTTTCTTTATCTTAATTTTAGAGCTTTTGACTTGACTTTGAAATATTTTCCGTTTTAGGTCATAGCCTTCCATTCTCAACAAAAGTAAGTTAGTTTCGTTTCCCTAGGTTTTGACCGTAAAAATTTATTGTTTTATAGCTGTTTTGCGATTTCTTAGGCTCTATATATTCTAAAAAATATTAATTACATGTATTAGCTTATTGCATTTAATTTGATTAAATTTAGCTTGTGGATGGATTCTGAGACTTTGTAACACTTTTTTTAGTCATTAACCTCTCAAAATAAATTCTCATTAAAACTTTTTACTAAGTTAATTTTAAATTAATTGTTTGTCTTATTTTTAACGCTTATCCTTTTGCTTAATCAGGCTAACAGTCTACCATTCTCAGTTTTTTTAAAGTTTCGCGTCCTTAAATCTTCACTTTGAAAATTTAATTATTTTAAATTTGCAACAAATTTTTAACAGTTTTGAAATGTATTAACTTTTCTTATTGCTTCTCATTGTTTATCTGGAATGCAAGTTCGAAATTTCTTATTTTATACTATTTAAATTTTATACAGTATTTTTTGTTTTGGGTAACGTCAGAGCAGATTATATTTTGATAATTTATTCAAAATACTAAAAAAAAAATGTTTTTTATATTTATGCTTTATTTTGTTGCATTTTGTATTCATATTACAAAAACTTTTAATGGCCTTGCATTATTTTAATTTAATTTAACTTTTTATTTGGCACTTATTTCTTATTTACTTCAGAAAATTTTAATTATACATATATAATTCAGAAAACATTGCTTTGTTGAAAATTTTTTCTCTTGATTAGTCATAGTTCTGAATCATGAAAGGCCTTTTCAGTTTAAAATACGCAGCAATCACTTTTCGCTGAGATGGGGAAACTTCATGAGGTTCACTTGCTTAAAGGTGACATCTTCCTGGAGATCAGCCTTTAGTTCGGGGGGGGGGGGGGGGACTGAAAGATTTCAAATTTAAAATTATGTCCAAATAAGCTTTTTTACTGTACAGCGTTGCTATTGCTCGCTTTGGAAACCTTAAGTTTGTTAATCAAAAATTCGTTACAAAATATGAAATCGATAATAAAATAATTTTAAAATTTCAAATTGGGGCTTCCAGATGCCCCTATTCGGAGGAAGATTACGCTATTCAAAATTTAATGGCTCTAGGTACCGTTGTTTTATCACAATGCGAGAAACATGCATACATTTATGCAGATTCTTCATTGTTTAATTTCTTTAAATATAACTTTAAATTTAACATAATATTTGGTGGCAACAATATGAAAAGTGAAATACCGCTTGTAGTGAATCAACGCCAAATGCCGAAACAAAATTAATAGTCTTTCTGGGCAAATTGCCTCTTGGACTAAGAGAACTTTTTCATAAAAGTGCCTGCAACTTCAAGCCGGGACACTAGCTTAAAGGAATTACAAGTAAAAGACTTCCAAGCAAGATTTTTGTTTGCATAAATAAGATCAATAAATCATACATTTCCATAAAAAAGTTCCCATGTATTTAAAAAAGTAATATTTATCCTCTCCGTGTCTCTGTTTATCTCTTCAGACACTCCAGTGGTGTTTATTGTTTAAATAAATACTCAGGTGTTTATTTGAAAAAAAAAGCAGTCTTCTTAGATTGGATTATTGCCTAATTTTACATTTACGTGCTCGTCCAATTCGACTCGGATCTTTCATTAGCAGGCATTAATCATTCCAACTCTACGGGTGCCTACCAGCGGCCGAGCGGTAAAGTTGCTGAACACTGGTAGTTCGGTCCGAGGTTCGAATCCCGCGAACGGGCTGGCTGCATGGGTGCTTTCGTGGTTTTCCCCATGTGTAACGTACATACGAACCAGTTTCCCTTAGAAAGTCCTCTACAAAGGCATCCCTCTCCTTAGCCAGATAGCCCTCGAGGCTTTGCCGTAGTTAAATAACCTAACATAACCTAACCAACTGTGATAAAACGGCTTGCGTGCTCAAATTTTAAAACCAATACTTTGTGTAATTTCTTTATTTAAATTATAATATTATTATTTCTAAATATCATTATTTGTGTTAATTATTATATTATTTATTATAATTTTATTATTTGTTATTTGCACCCTTCAAACGTTTTCATATATTACAGCCCTCAAAATGAATAAATAAAGAGCCTGAGATTTTTACTGGTTAGTTAGATAACTCGCATCGGCACAGAATTACAAAAAGGCACTATTTTTTTATTTCATCTGTATATTAATAAAAATACCAAGAACAATAAATCTATATATTTAAAACCAAATCGTAAAACAACTAAACTCCAGTGTCTTTATCGACCAAATATAAAAATATAAAACTTTTATCGACCAGATATTGAACTTGTTTACACAAAATTACAACAAATGACACTAAAATTTATTTCACCTGTGTGATAATAAAATAATAAGAATTATAAATCTGTTATTTAAACCGAGTTTTAAAATAAATAAGACAAAAATGCTCACCTTTGCCAGAAACAGCAGAGACTTCAAAGTACTTAGCTCCCACTGACTTCGCATATTTTAAACCACGAGTCAGAGAGACCTGCCGTATGCCTAAATCTATCTTATTTCCAATTATTATGAGGACACATTCATCACTAGCATCATTTCTGACACCTAGATATAAAAAAAAATATTTTTTGAGTTGAAGTATATTACATGATAAATATTATTGCAATGATTACGTAAGTAAAAATAAACATTTCAGATAAAAATGCCTGCTTTGAAAACATATGCAAATAGCTTCACGTGCATTCGGTTCTGTTGTTGCTTTGTCTAATCTCATTTCTCTGACCTAAGAACAATCCCACGAATTTTATCGTGGCAAAAAGTACAAGACTGCGTTTATCGTTAGCAAAAGTTCAGTTGTTGTTTTGTCTAATATCATTTCTCTCATATAAGAACAAGACTGCGTTTATCGTTAGCAAAAGTTCAGTTGTTGTTTTGTCTAATATCATTTCTCTCATCTAAGAACAAGACTGCGTTTATCGTTAGCAAAAGTTCAATTGTTGTTTTGTCTAATATCATTTATCTGACCTAGGAACAATCCCACGAATTTTATCGTGGCAAAAAGTACAGGACTGCGTTTATCGTTAGCAAAAGTCTTGAGTACATATAGATAACAGTACGACGTCGCACAGTTCCGCCCCAGTTTTGAAGGCCACCCCGGGGAGGACGAGTCTCAGGCTCTCCCACCTCTCTTCCCCTACCAGCAAACCACTCGATATTTTAAGTGCCCCCATGCCACCCACACACTATACATTTACAAACATCCACACCTTCTCCGGGATTCGAACCCGACCTCTTTGGTACTGCAGTCAACGTTACTGGGCGACTTATTCAGTTTTTTAGATATCTATTAAAAATTCTAGTTAATTTCACGAACGAAATATTCTTCGTTACAAGAACAAATTACTTTAAAAATGAAATTCTTAAAATTTCAAAATTTAGAATTCACGTGACCATCCACCTGGAATCAGAAGCAAAAAGTCTAAATATATAGCTTTTTGCCTAATAAAGCAGATGTGATTTTCCACTCATAACCCTTAAATAAGTATAAATATTAAAATCCCAATTAAATAAAATAATAATATAAAATCCCGTTTAAATAAGTATTAAATAAAACATTAAACTTAATTCTCAAACTCACCATTATTTTTCAGTATTAACTTAAAATTTGCTTTGAATTATTTTCATTCATAGTTATCTTCTTGTTTTATATGTCTGGAATGTCTTTATATAGATTAAAGAGAAGTTACAGAAAGCTCAAATTTTTAAAGTTTCGATGAACGATACAATTACATTTAAAACAATATCTAAAAATAATTTCTCATGCTCGGATCGCACAATGAAAAGCAACATCTAAATTGATAGATAAAAGCCAGCCGATTGCCACTAATTGTGGTAGTGGATTTCTAAGGAATTTTTCCCTTCCTAACCGGTGCTTTCGTATGATATAATTGGAAGCACGTCCGGCCAGCTAACGGCAGGTAATCGGGAAGAACCAAAGCATAGCTAGTTTTCATTGCTTCCTGCTCCGAAACAAACATACTGTCTCTACAGATTTCCACCATTTACCTAAATCCTAGAGTTTTAAGTTAGCATGAAAATCACATCTTTTTCAAGCATTCCTCAATTGCGGGCCGCGCATCAATATTCTGCAACCGTCTATTACGTATTGTTACGTTATTTACTTCCTTCACGTTCGTACGGGGTTCGTAGATTTGGAGTGAATAACGAAGACACTTGATGAAGTATCGAAACACACTTTATTTATCAATATTAATCAGATAGCTCCAAAATCACTTTAACAGTCATCGAACTGTTATAAACACGCTGACAGGTTCAGCGACACAGCCTTCACACTGTCAGGCAATAACGGTGGAGACAGCTTCACTGCAAAGCACCCGAGTTCAGCTTCTGCTTGGTCGTTCTCGGAACTCCACGTACTCTCGAGACTCTCCACGCGATGCACTCGATGATATACAAGAGTATAGCTCTCGACTCAGCACAATCTAAGACAAAACTCGACGATGCACTAAAAGACTCTCTTGATGCACTCGACGACCAACTCTGCGCTAGACTTCGAGACACTCGCTCAATGGCTGACTATCAGCTCGCTAGACGAGGCACACACACTAACTGACTGCGGACCAGCAGGATTTATATAGCTTTCGGCTTGTGTTCGAGAACATTTTGGACTAAACCGGTAAGAATTCGTTCCAGAAGGTTCTCCATCCGTCCATGGCATATCGCCAATTTTGTAGTCAAATGTCGCCAAATGGACGATTTTCCGCCAAATGTGGCAACCCTGCCTTCCCTTGCCCTTTTATGGCAACCCTAAAACTGCTGTGCGGGGAAGCTATCTCACCGCGCCTATACATTTCGTAACAGTATTTAAAAATAACTGAATGTAAAATTTCTCCTAAATACTAGAATGCATTTAATTGCCGTTTATTTCTAAAAGCTGCGAAACCGCTTCAAACACTACGCTATTCCTGAAATAATTCCATGCTATTTTTATCATTTCTGTTAAAATTCCCTGCGTGTTTCATAATCATCGGTCATATCGCTCACTTAAAAATTTAGATTACAAAAATTTTAGAATTAGAAAATTTTCTTAGGCCATTTCATAACAGTAAATTATTTAAACAAGAAACTGCGCTATCATTTCGCGAGAAATATCCCTCGAAATTAACTTAATTTCAATGTAATTCATTTAGCCACCTCCTAATAACAGCAGTGGGAAAGAAAGGGGAAAAAAACCTTTTTTTCTTCCCGCAGTCCCCTCCTCTGACAGTTATTTTTATATATAAAGACACTTGAAAAAAAAGTCAAAAAACTTAAGGAGAAATTTTTAAGATATTATAGAACGGAAATATCAGAAACTAAGACAATATACACATTTTGTGCAGAAAGCAGCCCAGTGTGTGAGGGAAACAAAATAGATACGACGCTAAACTAAACTACAAGAAGATGCATGGACTTACAGGAATACTGTTTGTAATTCATGTACACTCATGTTCATAAATTAAGGATAATTCGGAGTCACGCGGAAATCGAACTCTAAAATAAATATATGACCTGTAAAATCACTACACACATCTTCAAGAATCATATGCAAATTTCAGGCAGTAACCAGATGACACCAATGGTACGTCACAATGACGAGAGTGTAAGAGAGTGATATATAAAGAATACAGGCAAAGAAGTAAAATTGTTCCCAGGCGCTTTATAAGCATTTCTGTACAATAAACGAATAGTTATGACACAAAGGACGCATTTGGATGATTTTTTACGTGGTAGAGTTATTGGCCGTCTGGAATGCGGGCGTACCCAACTGGAAGTATCAGACGAACTTGGAATTGCCCAGAGTGTCATCTCCAGGCTTTGGCAACGATTCCAAGATGATGGTAATGTGAGTAGACGTTACAGCAAAGGTCGTCGCCCCAGAGTTACAAACGCCCGAATGAGGACAGGTATTTGGCAGTTACTGCCAAAAGAAACAGGCGGAGCACAGCCTCTCAGACCTGTCTCGTCAGCTCTCTTCACCACTGGTACGACAATTTTCAAGGCAGACCGTGTACAGACGCTTAGGGCAGATTGGTCTATATGCTCGTAGACCTGTCAGATGCGTTCCACTTACTGCAACTCACTGTCCACCCCTGCGGTTAGCCTGGTATAGAGAGCATGCATTGTGGACACACAACAGTGGGCTTGTGTGATGTTTTCCGACGAGTCCAGGTTTTTTAGCTTGCAGTCAGATTCTCTCGCCGGACTTTCATATGGAGAGCTCCAGGTACCCGTTACCACCAAGAAAACATCATTGAACGACACCGTTACGGTGGTGCAGGAGTGCTCGTTTGGAGTGGAATTATTCTGGGTTCCAGAACTGACCTGCATGATCATTGGAACCATGACAAGCCAAATCTATCGGGACGTCATTCTGGAACAACATGTATGTTTGTTTCGGGGCGCCATGGGCGATGGATGACAACGCCCAGCCTCACCATGCAAACATCGTAAGCGAATGCCTTCAATCGGAGGATATCACCCGTATGGACTGGCCAGCATTCTCACCGGACTTGAATCCAGTACAGCACGTGTGGGACATGCTTGGCCGACGAGTTGCAACCCATGTCTACCAGAACTTCGGAGAGCATTGGTTTTTGAGTGGTGTAATATCCCCCAAGATAAGATCTATAATTTGATACTCAGCATGCCTAGGCGTTGTACGGACTGTATTGCATCGTCTGGGAGACATACAATGTATTAACAATCATACCAACAATCTAATATTGGTTTTTTGTAAATAGGCTTTTTTGTAATTTGCTCCAGGGAGAAAAAATCGCTAATTTTTTTAATAATATCAAACATATAGCATCTTTTTTTGCTCTTTATCATTTGTTTAATAAATAAGCTTTACAAATAAGTCAAATTTGTTTTGCTTCTAACTCCTTCTTTGCCTGATTTTGCATTATCCTTAATTTATGGACTTGAGTGTATTTATTAACGAGTGTCTGAACCTCCATTAATAAATAAATTGTTAGCAACAATAATGTGCATTAAAAGCATCAGTTTCGATGTATCTTTTCTCAGGAACTATAAAAATATCCAATGTGAATTTGTGTTAAGTCAAATAAAATTTTTGTGTTACATTAAAACAATATTGTATACAGAATAATAAAAATTTACCTATTTTTTTAAAAGGAAAAATGTCTGCATTTGTTATTGCTAATTTCAATAAATATTATAACACATAAAATGCTTCGTAAAGTGGTTTTAGATACATAGATAAATTTTTAGAAAAAGTATATTGAACCATTTAAAATCATATTTTTATTTAAAAAATAAAAATTTTTTCCCTATTAAATGGATGAAACTCGGTGTTGATGCTAACATAAAGTTGAATAGTGGACATTTCTAATTGTGCTTCTATTTTTGGAAAATTGATGACTTTTTTAGAATTTAAAAAGGCAATTACCTCAAAATGAATTGTTTTTAAGATATGGAATTTCTGATCTCCCTCAAATTCTAATTCACAACGTGATCTTAATTCAAACCTTTTTTTATGCTGATCAACAGGATATCAGATAATATTGCTATTATTATTGGTGGCCGTGGCAGTGTTAAAATAGCCTAATTTCAGTAATGATTAGTGACATCTAAAGCCAAAGAAAATGGAAGACTATGTTATTATAAGAACAAATATCAATAAAATAATTTCAAGAAAACTTTCGAATAGGATGATAATTTCCCTGGAAAGAAAATTTAAAATTATTTTTGAGTTACGTTAAAATTTGAAATCTTACTAAATTTAGTATTTCTTTCTTAAAGAGGAAAATTGTATTTGAAATACAGTACCCCTGGCTTATTAAAATCACTGCCGCTCCAAAAATACTGGAGTTTATTAAGCGCCTGATTTTAATATACGGCGATCTGTGTACTGCAAATTGTGATATCAGTTTTAAATTTTTCAGATAAAATAATAGCTAACAACTAATTCAATAATTCATTTAATCCTAAAACAATAATTAAAAATGAATGCTAAAATTAAACTTTTAATGCAGTTTTTATATTTATGTTTTAATATTTTATAAAATATTTTTATTATTTCGTTCATCATGAAGTTTCATCTCTTAAAAACAACTAATCTATCTCGTGCTTATTTTTCAATTATATTCTCAATTTTGTGAAATTGCCGGTAGGTTATTTTTTATCAGCCCTTTTCAAGTCATAAGTTTTTTTTAGAATTTCTTGGGTTTTTCAGTTTTCGGTTAATGTTGCCATGTAATCATTTTTCTCTCCATCACTTTCGCTTTCAATTTCTGTAGTTCTTTTTATACTTTTATAGCCAGTTTTTTACACACGTTGTCTCAATGTTATTGTGAGTTCATACATTTTCTAAAAATTAATCTTCATAACTTACCTCAATTCATGTCTGAAAGGTTAACTATAATTTTAAATACATCTGAAGCATCTTCTACATAAAAGCCACATTTTCCAAAACAGTTTTTAATTATTTTCAAGAGATTAACCCTTTGCAATGACTATAATATGCATGAACTCTAACAGAGATATCGACTTATTTATCTCCCTAGAAGTGCTTCGGTTTTCCAAAATTCAATTCTGTTTATCATTTTCTGAATATCGTTTCTGTAACAACATTTGAAAACTTAAAATACCCCCTGAAATACTAAAGGCTGAGTGTTAGAAGATGTATTCGCAGGAAGAGACACTAATGCTGGGTGGATCACGAAAATGAACTTATGAAAAGCTTTGACAGATATTGTTAGGTATTAATTCGGATATTCTGGCACTAAATAATTAGTCTTTTGCCAATTTAAGTTTTATAAGCGGCGGAGATTTTAATAAACGGCCGTTTTTCAATTAATTAGTACGTACACTGCTCAAAACAATTAGGGAATATTATGGTTTTCGATATAAATTGCGGATAAGTAAACGTTTTGTGACTGATATATGATGTATAGGTGTTGTAAGATATGAAAAATGGGGGAAAATGCAGCGAACAAGGAATAATTAAACTTTATTGACAATATTTGTCGATAAACAAAAAATGCACAATTTGTACATATTACACAAACAAAAAAATGTGATTTCTTGGACGCAAGTGAATTTTAATGAAGGTATAGAGTCATTAATTAAGTTAATTGGAAGCAGAAAAGATGAAAAATATGCGACCGCCTTCGCCGGGAATCGAACCACGGACCTCTGGAATACCGGCCCAGCGTGCTACCGTTACATGACGAAGGCAAGCTAGGGAAGTGGGAGAAATACCTTATAAAGGGAATCATTTCCCCTGATCTGAAACAATGTCGCACACCTACGGCGCTGGTAATCAATGAGGTTATCAATAACGGACTAGGGTATTCTCTCCCACTTCTATACAAGAAAGATTTTCAACTGCTGTATTGTTTCTGGGCTTGCTAAGCGACTTGCAAACTCTTCTCCCTAGAATGTTCCAAACATGTTCTATTGGTTTCATACCTGGGGAACATGTTGGCTAATCGGTGCGAAGGATACCTTCGTCGAAAAAGATATTATATACTATCTTAGCACGATGTGGCCTGGCGTTATCATCTATAATAATGAATTCATCCCGATTGCTACAGCGTAAAGGACCACAATAGGTCTGAGGATCCCCACATCGCTGAGTCCTTAGTGCCCCGTTCCTGATAATGCTGAGGTCGGTGCAACCATAGATAAAAATATCGGCTCAGACCACCACTCTGCCACCGCCAAATCGGATATTTTCATGTACAAATGCAGAAGTGTACCGTGTACCAGGTTCTCTCCAGATGAGAATCCGCCTATTATCAGGTTTCACACAAAAGCGGGACTCTTCCGTGAAGAGCATGTTGCTCCACTCATCCCGTCCCCATCTCAGATGCTCCTGTGCCCACCTCCCGTGGTCAGCACGTTGGTCCTGTGTCAACGAAACATAAAACATAGGTCTGCGAGTATACAAGTCCACATGGTGGAGTCAGTTTCGAACAGTTTGAGTCCAGACTCTACTATTAGTAGCTCTCTGAAAGTGTTGTTGCAAGAAAATGGCTTTCATAGTGCGGTTTATTCTGGCAGGTAATGTTAAATAGCGATCCTCATTTTGTGTAATGACCTTGTTGCGTATGACCTTGTTCCAATCTTCCAGTTTCCAGAAACTGATTCCATAGGCTGAAATGACACTTTGAGAAACTTCTAACGCTTTGCGGTTAGAAACTTCTAACGGATTGCGCAAAGCTGCTTCAAGAGAACTACTACGGATACAACTTTTGGGATTGTGTGTGACCCACCTCTAAACGACCGATGGCCCTCCAGGCTATCGATTCAGCTGAGTCATCTTATTCACTGTTACAAAACATTCAAAGCGTATCAGTTGTTTTAATCTCCTCCTACAGTAGGAATGCTGCGTGTAGCTTTTTATCTAAAACGCGTAGTTTTCGACAGCACAAAAAAATTTGCATGTTCCCAACTTCGTAAACGCTATAGTTTTCCTTTTTAATCCCTTCTATTTCATTTTTGTTAAAAAAGTTGCAGATTATGTGATTATTTCATACCGAACTCACAATATCCCGTAACTGTTCTGAGCAGTGTATTTGTTTTGATTCCTGGAAATTTGAACGTAATAAGCGGCTGAGTTTATTAACCAGTGAGTATAATAAGCGTCGGATACTGTATATTGTTATTCAGTCTTAGCAAAAGAATGCACAATTTTCAAAAATCACTACATTTTTTTTAGTCTACAAAACAACATAATAAATTTCGTACCTTTTAAATAAATAACAATAATACAGAAGGAGAAACCTTTAAATACAATATGCATTTCTTAGAAACAATTCTTGAAATTCTGATAGGCAATTTATTACAATAAATGAATTCAAGAGTTGTTAATCGCTAGATAGGATGCTTCTGAGAGGATTTTCTGAAGGAAACTAACTCAGACGTCACTCCTGAGAAGCCCTATCTGCAAATTTACCCCAAACCCTAATAATTGGAACTCCAAAGAAATGCTAGCAAATAGCATTCTAGCAAATAGCTAAAATTTCAAGACAACGGAAAGTTGTCTTGAAATTTTCAACCATTCAGTGACAGATTAAGTACGGAACTAGAAGCTAACTAATCGTTTCTACACAACCTTTCATTCATATTGTAAAAAATAAGCTTTCTTTCCGGTTTCACCATACCCTTTCAATGAGAAATTGTATTCTATGAAAGGATTAAATTTTTTATGCAAACACCACCACCACACACACACACACACACACACACACACACACACATGCACATAATTTTAATTCAAACAAATTAAAAGACAATTTCTTAATGACGTATCTATTTTTGTCATAAAATTTGCGAAGAATCGCACCGAAGCAACTGAGCATAGCCCTCATTTATGTAACATTCAGGTGTCTCACTATTTCACACCTTAACATTTATTATGTTGCATTGTTCCTATCTTAGCCTTGACCATGCATTCTTTATGTTAACAAGAAGACTTTGTTCAGCATTGTCTCTTACAAAGACAATACTGAATAAAGAATCTAGAAAATAAATTACAATGACTTTTTTACACTTTGTTCTTGCTGCTGGTGTTTGACAACAGCACTGCTTCTTTCAAGAATTTTCAAGCCTCTTCTTTATATAAAAAAATTACGTAAGCCTCTGATGTTTTACAGTATGAGATAATTTTTATATAGCAAACAATACTTTTTTCAATTTACTTATCAAAATGTACTCACTTTTAACCCAGAGATTTAAAGCTTCAAATGTTTTCTCCGAAGTTAAATCAAAAACACAAAGCGCTGCTTTAGCTTCTTTGTAGAATATAGGCCCCTGAAAGAGAAAAAAATATTCTCTCATAAAACTTTTAGCCTACGAAACAATTTTTATAACTTGTTAATTTGATGTATATATTAGGAAAGAAAACATTTCGAGAGTGTGATTCTGGATTTTATAAAAATATACTCACCATACACCTCAACTTTTCCTCTCCTGATACTTCGGACATTTGTAAATCCACTGTTTTCTCTCCTATAAGGCTGGAAATATTTTAAAATAGATTGTTTATATGATAAAATTATAATATTGATTTATGTATATTATATCTGTTTATATATATATATTATTTCTGTATATATATATATATATATTATTTCTGTTTTATATATATTATCTCTGTTTATGTGATTAAAAATTTTGTAGATCTAATTACTAATAATAATCTGAATAAGTAATTTACTCCAATATGATTTTTGTTGAAACTTTCAGATCCAATGTAGAGTCTCAACCTAGTGACACATATCTACCCAGCTTTACCAGGCTCATGACTCACAAAAGTTTAGAATTCGCTCAAGTTATTTTTATTATTTAGTACTCTTTTTGCATAAAAGTTAATCATATTAACATCTATGATTTTAAGCGAGTTGTCTGAAACAATTCTTTCGCATCGTTACAAAATTGGAAACGTTAACTTGAATTCAGCATCAGTTACATAAGTCATCATATGACAGCTATTCACTACTTAAATTTACAGCATTAACGCGTAAGTTTATCCCCATAACTTATAAATTCGCGGAATTCTAACAAATGAAGAAACGAAAATCCGTAAATGTCAAAGTCAAATCTAACTTTCTCAATTTTACAATTTACGGCGGTGGTCGCTTTATGTTTCTGAAATACAAGCGTCTGCTTCAAAAGGATGGTGAATCTAAAATGCCCTGGACTGCAACTGAGTGTTCTGGTAATATGTTGTTGAAATAATCCTCCTCCTTAATTTCTATGATATCCCCCCAATATGCGAAGATCTATCACTGTTATTCAATAAAAGCATGCAGAAAGATATGATGAAGAATAATTCGACTAACGGAAGTAATCATTTAGATTACAATAAACACAAAATTTACTCTCTGCCTTTCTACATATAAAATACATGTACAATATGCTAAACATGGTAGAATTGTAAAGTGTTTAATTTAGTGAATCTCTGTCTCATTCAAAGCAGAAACGGTCAAAATTGTAAAATGTAAATGATGAAAGACAAATAGAATGAAAAAATAAAATTGAAAGGAAAAATATACAAATCTAAGATAAGTAAAGTAATATAAGATAAGTAAGTTCCATTTTTATCTTAATTCCACATAAGTAATATCTAACAAAAAAAAATCGATATCGTTTCAGAGATTTGAGAACAACGCTGATGAACAAATCAAAACACCAGGAAAATTAAAATAATTTATTAAAGAAATTTGAACAAAATTTTACTATTAAGTCACTAAATTGAACGCCGTCACATTCTGCTATTCTTAGAAGTTTTTTTAATTTATTTATTTATTTATTTATTTACCTCTTTTTACCAACATCAGCTACATGCAAATTATTTTTTTAAATATTAATTAAAATATTTAATTTAGCACTTATCTCTATTGTTTTCTCATACCTATACACACACGTGTATGTGCGTGTTGGGGAACATAAAATCTTATGCTCTTAAAAAAAATGAACGACAAGTCTTTCAAAAAATGTTTTGCGTGTAACAAACGGTGGTTGAATACAGCAAAGTTTCAATATAGAACAAACAAATGAATGTGCAATGCATTTTTGCAATTAGTACTTACTGCAACACTTTGTAGCGTCATTAGGATTTTTGAAGCAAGAGACATGAAAAAGGGCAATGCCCTAGCCGGGACTCGAACCTGGACCTCTCGAATACTCGCCCATTGTGCTACCGTTACACACGAAGGCATGCAGAAAAGAGGGTGAAAATACCTTACATACTCCCCCTTTTAAAAGGCGACTGGAGATTAGGGGACCAGTTGCCAAATCCTGGTGGTGAAGAATCATCACCCACGACCTTTTAATTCGTGCGTCATTGTAGAGACATCAGGAATTTTTTTCAAGCAGGAGATGTCAAAAACGTGCAATGTCTTTGTCGGGACTCGAACCTGGACCTCTAGAATATGTGCCGAGTGTGCTACCCTTACACCATGAAGGCTTGCAGAAAGGAGAGAGAATATACCTTATAAGGTTATCAATTTTAAAGAAGATATACTAGAACGAAAATAAACGAAAGAAGATTTTTGAAGAGTATAAAAGAGTGTATATTATTCTTAAATTGTTGTTTTGGCACTATATTAATTATATTTAAAAGACAGATTTTTTTCCCTCCCTTTTAAAATGTTTAACTCGTTATCATAGCGGAAGACTAAGCGAGCTGTGTTGATGTTTCTACAGGTTCGTCAGAAACGTCGAAAAAACCAATTCCCTATATGAATCTTTAAACGCTTCCTTTGCATTATCTACCTGCTTATTCCGGCCATTTGCAGAATGTCTTATTTCTTTCTTTATTTTATTCCAATAATTATCATAAGTATTACTAAGAATGAGTAAAAATATAATCTGTAAGCAAAGTGTTTCGTTAAATCAACAAAAATTTGACTTACACATTACAATTAGCAAACATAGTTTTTGCATTTCTTATCTGAGGTGAAATTGTAGAACCATCAAACCGAGAAGCAATTAAGGATTTCCCAACTCCTATGTAAAAAAAAAAAAAAAAAAAAAAAAAATCAGCATATAAATAATTTACAAATCAAGCTGTAATCAAAAACTATGCAATAAATGAAAATCAAATCCAACGTACGAAATATTAAGGCAAGGTTGACAAATAAAAGCACATCTCTAAATCTAATAATGTTTAAATGCTATCGTAGACGCATAGACACATTTAAAACCATTTTAAACAATAATTTTCAAGCATTAAAAATATACTCTCATAGACTGCTACAAAAAAATTTTCTGAGTTTTAAGTATACAACTTTTTTGTTCTACATGCGAAGCTGAATGTGAGTAAGACTAAATACTTGCATGAGCTATAATACTACATCAAAATTCTGTTTTACATTATGAGTTCAGTTACCGAATTGTCGATTAAAAATCAGTTAAGTATATTTAATAAAACGTATTTTGAAGCATTAGACACTCCATTTTGTACATTTCAAAGTATTTTTTTAAAAGTTGATCATAAGATTTCCAAATCATAACATTTGCTCATTATAGATAAAGATCCTGAAGAATTCTTAGCATAAAACCGTAAAAACTATTTAGAAAACTCACGTAATTTACAGTCAGAAATTTTTAATTTACATTAAATTGTGCAGTTTCAAGCCTACAGCAAATTAATTTCGGTATAATATCATATTATGCCATTAAAAAGCGTAAATGGAAAGTTTCTTTAGCGGCAGAAGTCTGAAACCACAATATGCTTCTTTATTTTTTCAATAAAACTTGAGATTAAAATTTAAACATTAAAATAATCTTCCACGGAACAAATGTCGAAATTAAGAAGTAAAGATAACAGTATACCAATAAGTAAAGTAAAAGTAGTTCTATGAAGCAATAAAATGAATAAATATAAATATAAGCCTCAAGCCTCAAGAGAAAAAAAGAAGTTACTTGTATTTTTTTTAAGTAAAACTTTAAACTGCAATTTTTTCAATACTATCTACGTTTTATATCTTACCTTGAGGTCCAACGATGCAAACCTTAGCTTTCATAATACTGAGATTCGTATATTAAGTAGATGAACACCAAATAATTGCATTCGACAGTGATTCCCTTGATACAATTCGGTATTCGACGCTAGTTTTTCCAACGTAGTTCTCCGCCTGAAAAGGAAAGGAATAAAACAGCGTCTTGGGAAAATATTTTTCGAAAAGGCATTTAAATGATTGACAGTGCAGGAACGATCCTCGATCTAGCATAAATGCTTGAGATAAAAGTCTGGAAAACGAAATCATGTGGGGTTCATATGTCTCGGTGTCAAACAAGACAGCTGAAAACACAATCGTGATTGACGCATCTGTAGAGACTTTCGCGCATCTGTATATAAATAATGGAAGTAAAAATCTCAGTTTCAATGCTATAAAGAAAATCTTTCATACATTCCGCATTTATAAAGTTTATTTTTTGATTTTGAAGCATCTTCGTTACATTTTATGAAATGCTCCTAGTTTTCTTGCAAAAAGCTTTATAGTGCAATCTCAAAAAATGCTCAGCTAATATACGAGTATTAAACAATTCAGCAACTTTTGTCAAAAGAATTACCTGCATTTGAGAACATGATAAAAATTTTGTTATGAGTATAAGTCAAACTAAAATACAAACATTTTATTTCCAGTAAATATAAACATAAAATGTAACGACAAATTCGATTTCATTTGCGTACATGCCAGTATTTTTGCCCCTATTTTTCTTGAAGCAATTTTTCAGCAGCATATCGTTGAATAACCTTTCCAAAAAGCATTAAGTGAGTATTGGTTTTTTTAATGTAAAACAATTTTGCATGGCATGCTATGTTTTTATCTGATTACAGCACTCACAAATGGAAGAATGAGCCAATATATTAATTAATCAAAGGCCTTGGGCACCAGTGGTGATTGTTATACTTGTTCCCAATATCATCTCAGTTTGGATCGAGATACCACACGATATTTTATCCAAAGGCCTGATATATTTCTTTCCCTACCAGCAACCTATCGATAGGACTCTCAGACCGAGGACTTTTAAGTACCCTTAAATTTTCAGACATAGTAAATACAAACGTCTGTACCTTACTTAGGATTCGAAGTAAGGATTATAAGCGGAGAATCTACTTCCCATAACCATCGTACTGACCGCGCAGGAACATGCGAGGTGGTTTTATGCTTACAACGCCAATTTCAGGAAGGAAATGGTTTCCAAAGCAGTCAAACTGGAAAATCTATAGTAACGTGACAAGCAGACAAAAAGCGTGTCTTTTACTGGGTGTTTTCTCTAAGTTTCAGGTTTTTTAAAGATCATCTTCAGTATATTTGCATCATAATACCAACAATCATCTCTTAAAGAACTTAAAAGTATATCAATCCTTATTTGTCTGAAGTATCAAAGAAATATAATTCTGAAGAGAAAATCGCACTGAGTGTACAGACCAGGCTAAAAATAATTAAATCCAATTATATTAACTAAGTCACTATTTAATAAATTCTATACAAGAGTTAAAATATTTGTTATTAATAAACTACTAAATAAAGTACCGTTCTCTGTTCAAAGCAATGTGTTTTCAGATCGCATGCCTGATCAATAAGCAAGGAAAACGCAAGTCTAAAATTTTCTTAATAATTTAAATACAGCATGATTTCATTTGTTTGTTGTTGTAGTGTGTTGAAACACATTGGTAATACGCGTGCTTGGCAGCAGAAGAGCTGTGCAGACGAGTTTCGAAACATACAATTTTAATGTTACTTTTAATTCTTTCAGTTCTGTTTGATTTTTATTTCATTTTGCAGGAAAATTTATTCTAAGATTATTATTATTGTTATTTTAAAAAACAAACAAAACAAAGCAAAAAATAAAATTAGCTTTCTATATAATAATGGACGAAAATAATTTACATTGTTTGTTTCCTTCTTTTCCTCAGCTTTTGAATTACATTGCTATGATAGTCAAACATTTTTTATTTAAAATCAGAAAATCACCTTACGAGATGATGACAGTAAGATTCATACTTTAATACACACCAAACAAATTCTACTGTTGTTTATACCCGTGTTGAATTTTGCATAGTTAACAGCTGATAGAAAGGTACGTAAGCATGTAAACAAAACATATTTTCTCTTTAAATATCTAAGGGAAAATGTCTCAAGAAATTTTTTTCCTCTTAGAGACTAGCCTTAGTCAGTGTGTATGGTGCCGAAGTATTTCGCGTCTGAATTGTTTCATAATGTATATCATGAATACTTTTATAAAAGAAAAGAAAAGAAAATTAAAAACAGGATAGCGGTGGTTAAAAAAAAATTGTCTTTCGAAATTCGAACTCATATAATTATCTGTCCTCAGCATCCCTTCATTTGTTAAGCGTGTTAGAAATCAGCACTGTACCTCTAAACATCAATAAGTTTCACTAGACTCGACTTTTTCGTTAACCATGGAGGGAACTTAGCTAGCTTTCGTAAATACATTCTTTTTCAGCCACCCAACAAATGACAATATTCGAGTAAAATCATTCTAAGGTTCATGTGCTCCTTACGCAAGATTTCTACATTTAGCCTTCTTTCATGTACTCGAATCCTTAAAATTTCATGCTCTCATAATTTTATCTGGAAAAGAAATTAAATTTTCAAAAATTTTTTGTTTCACCAAACAAAAAATGGCCTTTATATTTTTCCAGCAACCAGCTATTTATTATAGAGCTTGCTTGCAGAGTTTAGCGTGATTATGCGTGCAGAATATTGCACTTGTTAATGTGAAAAACCTGAAAAATATGTATTTCACTAAAAATAACTTCTTGCCTTTTTATTTCAGAAAATCATCTTTAAAGCGACCACTTTAAAAAAAATCAATAAAATAAAAACTTAATTAGCTAACAGATAACAAAAGCCCTTTTATCACTTAAAAAAAGACCAATTAGATAAGACAGGTAATTACCGATAATTCGTCACAGATTCTCTTTCCGGCAGTTGTGCATGATTATGCAAGACTTTTGTGTCTTTCCTTTCCTTTTTTAGCCTTCGCCTCCAAAGGCAGTTAGACACCTTTGGGTATTTAGCCGTAATAACTAACTTAGCTTGATTCGATATTTGCTAAGCAGAATCAAGTAGCCTTACGTCTAACATTTTCTGTTATTCTTCATAGGTGTATTTCCCCAACTCGACATGATAAGGATCAAAGCATGGCAAAGAACTAGCACAAATCGAAATGCGAGCCTAGTACCTCTTTCCCAGTTAACATAGTGTCCTAATCTTAACACAAGAGTGTTCGAAAATGTGGCTACAGGCTTAATTTCTTTAAATATTGATCATATATACGTTCTTCTAATTATAAAGGCTTCTCAAAATAGAGTATAAAATACTATAAAAAGAATTCCTAATACTGTGGCTGGGAGGGCTTGTAAATATAAACATTTTTTATATGGTTACAGCTGAGAAACGTTTGTTATACTTTAATGAGCTAGATACAAAATGTTAAACACATTTTTATGCGAAATTCATTTGGATTAAACACTTTTACTCACTCAAATCACCTTTCATGACATTATTATAATGTATTATTTTCTACTCCTTCGCTTTTTGAATGCGCACCGCGACTACCAGGACTGCGGTTTATAGATTACTCAATTTCTGCTCGCGTTAGCCGAGAACCAAGGATTGTTGTAAGAATTTCAGTCATTGGTCCAAGAAGGTACACTGAGCGATATTCGGGATGTCAACGACTCCAACTCAGCGACACTGGTGACAGACTTCTTATTCTGATATCTGCTAGGTATTGTATAGCCACATCTTCTACCTAGTTCAGGAAACCGGGTGTATTACACAGCACGAAATATCTTCACGTATGGATATCTGCAACGCCTTAGATTGTCAGCAAAGAGATCATTGCTTTAGCTTCTCTTGACGAAACAACGCAGGAATTCTCTTGACGCTACAACGCAGCGTATGCAATGATACTTCTCTCACAGTCGCATCAATGGCGTGATGTCGTCTTTTTTGAAAAATTCCTCTTTATTTTATGATATTATGATAACTGTATCCGTGCATGGAGGCGAGGGGAAAGACAGTTTGAAGCTTAAATTCCTCATCGCCATACCAGTCCAGTGCTTAATTTGATGGCTCGGGATGCCATCGAGTACACATCCCGTTCACTTTAATTCACATATATGGTACTTTGACTAGCCATCTTTACACTACTGCGGTTTTGATGCCCGTGGTTATGCAATGTCTTCGGGACCTCTGTTGCCCCACCTTTGAAAGGCAATGAAAGAGTGAATGTCTCCCACGCCATCCTACGTTTCTTTAATAAGTAAGTGTTTGATACTTGCTTTGGCTGGCGCATTCACCAGATCTCTCACAATTTGGAAACCTCAGGTCAATAGTTGCAGAAAGAGTGGCAGGGCAACCTCCGCCAATTAGTGTGTGAGATAAACTCTGGCGAAGAACTGAAACTGCATTACCCGTAACTGCCCTTCAATGACTGCTTGATTCCATGCCCGGCGGTACAAGAGTTACAATTTTCGGCAGATGCGGCTTGTCGCAGTACTAATTTCTGCATGTTCTTTACCTCAAAATTACCTGAAATTATATTATTTCACCCTTCCTTTAAAATAATTCTTTAAATAAATGTGTTTCTGCTAACTGCTTTCCTTCTTGATGTACCAGTTTTAATAACCAGCAGTGTAACGTAACCCCTTTCATCAGAGATTGTTAGCCACAAGCTAACTCATGTTTAATTTTAACCATGCTATAATCTATCTCTTCGTTTACGAGTATTTGTTTGAATTATCTAGGCGGTAGTGATTTGCGTAACCTAAACGTATAAATGAAATAATTAAATCTTTTAATCTTACATCTTTACCGATAAAAAAATTTAAATTTTTCAACGAAGTTTAGAAAGCCCGCACAAAACAAGAGTCGCTCGTTTTCGCAATAAATTGCTCCGTTTTGGATAAACCGCAGCTATTATTTGCCTGTTTCTGGCCTCTCTAAAATATTAACTGCACACATGTATACGAATTTTTAAGTTCTGCTACTGAACAAGTTAAAGTATGTTTTAGACTTACAGAGGCACAGTAAAACAAATTTACGAAAGATAAAATAGATTGTAGAACATGCAAGTTCTGATTATAAATAAAATGGAGTTCGAAAGAGCGAATTGATGAAAAAGAAAGAGAGATTTGTATTATAATAATTTTTAACCTTGTTCTTCCAGTTTTCCTCGCCTTTATGTTTGTACAGCGGCATACTGAGACTTTTCTG